CTCCCTCTGCCTCTCTCTCTCTCTGTCTTTCATGAATAAAAATAAAAACAAATCTTTAATAAAAAAAAAATCTACATTGTTATGGGACACCTGGCTGGTTAAGTGTCTGCCTTCGGCTGGGGTCATGATACCAGGGTCCTAGGATCGAGTCCCATATCCGGCTCCTTGCCCCGCAGGGAGCCTGCTTCTCCCTTTGCTTGCTGTTCCTCCTGCTGTGCTCTCTCTCTCTCTCCCTCTCTCTGACAAATAAATTAAAAAATATCTTTTAAAAAAAATTCTAGGGGCGCCTGGGTAGCTCAGTCGTTAAGCGACTGCCTTCGGCTCAGGTCATGATCCCGGGGTCCTGGGATCGAGCCCCGCATCGGGCTCCCTGCTTGGTGGGAAGCCTGCTTCTCCCTCTCCCTCTCCCCTTGCTTGTGTTCCCTCTCACGCCGTCTCTCTCTCTCACTCTCTCTGTCAATTAAATAAATAAAATCTTTAAAAAATAAATAAATAAATATCTACAATGTTAGCATGTGGTCTGAGGTCTAAAAAAAATTGAATCAAACTGTATGACATTTACACAACTATACAGGTTACTTCAGAAACAGACCTACAAGGAAAGATCCCTTCAAACTCTGTCCTTAACCTGTGAAGAATGGTGCTAGCCCCAAGAAAGAGCCATGTGTTTCCAAACCAAACTCACTGCAGGACCTGGGATAACTGCTGACCTGTCAAACGAGGGATTCCTCACCTACAAAATAAAAACAGTAATATTTAACAGGGCATTTGTGTTAAGCTCCTACCACTGTGTACAGCATGTGCTGGTAGCTTAATAAACATCCATTTTCTCCCCTTTTTACAATTCTAAGAGATTTTCAGTCTCAGGGTCAGGAACATGGGGGATTTCAGATTAATGCTGAGAATACCAGAATATCCAATGAAATAAAACCAACTCTTTTTTTTTTAATTTTATTTTTAAGTAATCTCTATACCCAACATGGGGCTTGAACTTACAGCCCTGAGACCAAGAATTGCATGCTCTACAGACTGAGCCAGCCATGTGCCCCCAAACCAACTTTTTAAAAAAATGCTAGTGAAGATTTTAGTGTGTGTTCATTTTCCCATATACCTGCCACCTAAACCTTCTAGCTTTATGGAAATTTGACCTTATACAAATTATTTATTTTCTTTTTTTTTTTTTTAGATCTTATTTATTTATTTGACAGAGAGAGACACAGCAAGAGAGGGAACACAAGCAGGGGTAGTGGGAGAGGGAGAAGCAGGCTTCCTGCGGAGCAGGGAGCCCAGCGTGGGGCCCTATCCCAGGACCCTGGGATCATAACCTGAGCCCGAAGGCAGAGGCTTAACGACTGAGCCACCCAGGCACCCCTATAAATTATTTATTTTCATATCATTAAGCCATAATTTACTTATCATTTGAAACTGAAACAGTATCATTTTAAAAAATTTTTTTAAGATTTTAAGTTGTTTTTTTTTTAAGATTTTATTTTTTTTTTGACAGAGAGATAGCACAAGTAGGCAGAGAGGCAGGCAGAGGGAGAGGGAGAAGCCAGCTCCCTGCTAAGCAGGGAGGCTGATGTGGGGCTCCATCCCAGGACCTGCAGATCATGACCTGAACCAAAGGCAGACACTTAACCATCTGAGCCACCAAGGCACCCCGAGAAGCTTTGAAATTTTAACATAATGTATCTATGGGCCAGTTTCTACTAATTTTAGGATAAGATTTCAAACTTTCAGAGTATGACTTATCTGAAATATACATATCAGAAAATGTTCCAAAAAAAAGTAAATGTTCCATAATTGTATTCTTTTCAGGGTGAATTTACCTAGGAGAAAGGAATATTTTATTTTATTTTTAAAGATTTTATTTATTTATTTGAGAGAGAGAGAATGAGAGATAGCACGAGAGGGAAGAGGGTCAGAGGGAGAAGCAGACTCCCTGCTGAGCAGGGAGCCCGATGTGGGACTCGATCCCGGGACTCCAGGATCATGACCTGAGCCGAAGGCAGTCGCTTAACCAACTGAGCCACCCAGGTGCCCGAGAAAGGAATATTTTAGAGAATTCCTTCTTTTTTTGCTTTTCACTGTGCTGCCCATAATGTTCAGGATTACAACCAGATGCATCTGTTCTCTAAGCTCAGACAGTTGGGGAAAGACAAGCCGGAGTCCTGAAGACAGTGTTTAGGTTCTCACTCCAGCCCTGCCCCTGTCACTTCTGTGGATCCCCACATCCTCACTGTGAAAGGGCAGCCTTGGACCAAATACCGTGTAAAGTTCCTTCAAGCTCTAAAATTTTATGATCAATGGTCAAACAGTGAACAACAAACTAACCAATCAACCAAGCAAACTAAACTACATTTCCTATGGCCTATTTCTCAGAGCCTAGAGATCAGCTTATTGAACATCAGGAAGAGTCAAATTGCTCAAGTGCAACACACAAAAAACAAATATCAGTAAGAAATAGCACTTTTCTACCACTACCTAAACATGACCTAAAAACAAAATATAAATAGGGTTTAAAATTTCGATGTGTGTACTTAGCATATGGACTTCCTATTCCCAAGAATGTGAAACATTTCTGCAAAATTACCAACTATAATTATATATTTTCTCAATGATATTACACTAACAAAACCATAAAATTCTGTTTCTAAAACATGAAAATGCTTAAACAACATAATTATCTGTACTTAATATATTTTTTTCTCTTTCATTTGGAATCATAGGCATTTTGTTAGAATTTCCAGCCTCAACACTAAGTTTGAAGTAGAAAATGAACTGCTGTAAGTGAACTTCCTGGCACTTCAGTCTTAGTTTGACATTTAGGTAAGTCACCCTCAAATAAATAGAATATCATGGGGTATTTGAATTTCTTTCATTCTAGGGATCCAATAAGACAATTCCCATGTAATATCTATTCAAAACAAGACCTAGTCTGATGTTAATTAGACTTGCTGTGGTGATCATTTTGCAATATATACAAATATCAAATCATTATGTTGTACACCTGAACCTAATATAGCATTATATGTCAATTATACCTCAATAAACAAAATAAAAGACTTACTTTTGCAAAATCCCAAATAGTCTGGGAAGAGGTGGCCTTTCCACTGTTGAGCCCCTAAGGCCAGTAAGGCCTCCTATTTCCGGTCAAAGCAGAGGACCTGGGAGGATAGGTTTCTGCTGAATTTAGACTCATTTGCATAGCATTCCACAAGCTCCCAATTCTCTTACTTCATTGCTGCCCCTGCACACAAACAGGTAGACCATTTTTAATTTAAGGCCTTCACTTATTTCCTTAGGGGAAACGGGATGAAAGAACATGATTACTAAGCTTCTGGTCTAAGAGGCTGATCTGTAGTTGCAGACTGTTCAGCTGAGTCAGTGATGCAGAACCTTCTTTCCCCAGCCCCCTTTCCTCCTTAATTAGCAGCGCTAAAGGGTAAAGGCCTTCAACAATAGAAGTCAAATAGCCCCCCACCCCGGGAAGTACTCCATCAAAATTTGCATTTCTGAGACGCTTCTAGGGGGACTGACTCAAATTCATCTTTCTCTTCTAGAGGCTGGCAGTAATTGCGGAACTGCAGGATAAAACGTTAAAATGGTGGTGAAAAATTAGGAATAGTTTGCAAAACGTTAAGATTCGGGGCTATGAAATCTAAAGATTGCCCTCCAATCTATTCACCTTCTTAGATGCTACCATCCAAATTTGTTTAAAGTCCCTCCAAAATGACAGTTTTGGTTAAGTTCCAGAAATATCAGGCATTATTTTAACCCAGAAGAAAAAGATACGACTCCAGTTTGCAGGATTAAAGTTCAAGGATTAAATTCGCCACTTGCTTCAATACTTCAATAATTGGACCTGTCGACACTTTAGGTAAGAAAAACTCAGCAACTGGTGTATAAAATTACTGAGTTAAATGCGGGTACTGGATTCCAAGAGGAACTACGAGACAAACCGTACGGTATATCATGTTTCCACGGTAGGTTTATCGACCCCCTAAGAAGCCCTGGCTTAGTCTTTTTTGAATGCTGGGCACACTCATAGGTCGATAAAGAGTGTAGGTGATTTAAATAGTTCGTCGGTTGTGGTACCAACTTTAAGTCTACAGAGCGGCGGACAATTTAATCAGTCCATACTCTTTTCCAAGCCAGCAGCCATGGCCAAGAATCCTTTTCACTTGGCGCGATTACAAGGAAAACCCTGAAATACTTTTAAAAAAAAAACACATGCCAAAGAACTGGAGTTAAGTTATTAGGATGGGGCTATGTAAAGCTTCGGTGACTCACTAAAGTAAGTTGGGACCTGAGGTCTCAGCACCGGAGGAAAACAGAAAAAACAAAAGTTGGGGGCAGGCGGAGGGTCGCGAGCACACTTTTATATTTGATTGGCGGAACCACTCAGACTTTTCTTTATGGCGTCACCTGGTACCTGCCTGTAGAAAGGCCCCGTCTGCGTGACGTCACGCCTCACTGACCAATGAAAAGCCCCAGTCTGCGGGCCCCGAGGAGGGTTGTGGGCCCTTTTTTGTGAATGAAGCTCCACGGAACAGCCCCCCTGGGGTCCCCGGGAGCCGAGGCCCGCTGTGCTCCCGCGCCTCGGCAGCAGCGTCCGCGGCTGCGGTGGGCGCGCGCGGTTACCCTGGGCAGCCCCAGCCGCCGGCGGCAGCACCGTCGCCTCGGCCGCACTAGCGGGCTGCGGGCACCTGGGGACGGGCTGGGGGCGCCGGCGGCGGCAGGAGGCGCTGTAGCCAGGGCTGCGGCGCGGGTCCCGCGGCGGCCGCAGGAGGGAGCGGGGCAGGCGCGGTGGGCCCGGCCCCTCCTCCGGCTCCTGCGCGGCCGCCTCCCGCCGGGCTCAACCGGCGCCCGCCGTCCCCGTAGCGCCGCTCCGCGCCCGCCGCCCCGAGCGCCCGCGCGCGGGGCTGGCGGGGGCCTCGGCGGGCGAGCGGGCGCGCGGGGCCATGGTCGTGGCCCCCTGACGGGCCGCGGCCGCCTCCATGAAGCGGAAGAGCGAGCGGCGGCCAAGCTGGGCCGCCGCGCCCCCCTGCTCGCGGCGCTGCTCGGCGTCCTCGCAGAGAGTGAAAAAGAGCCGCAGCTCCACGTCGCAGGAACTGCCCCGCCTGGACCAGCAGGACGACCTGTACCTGGACATCACCGGTGAGCCGGCGAGCGAGCGCGTGGCGGGGCGCCCCCAGACACTTGGCACCCCGCGCGGGGGGTCCTAGCCCACCCTCCCAGGCAGTGGAGGCGTCTCCCGGGGCCCGACTGACACGCCTCCGCCCCCACTCCCATAAAAGCCCCACCGGCCACACCCCCTTCAGCGGCCCGGCTCCCTGGGAGCGCCCCCCTACCCCGACTTTCCATCTGCGTGTGTTGCGAGCAGTAACTTTATCCGTTTTGCACTCTCCTACCCCGGCAAGATGGGCCGCGAGGGTCACCTTTCTTAAATTGCTGGCGTCAGCTCGGCGCCTCGGGCTTTTCCTAAGTTCGGGTTGATAGCGCCTCCCCGGGCTGCAAGCTCGGTTGGCCCTCACAGGAGCCTGAACCTCTGAATCACCTCAGAGGATTCCCCGAGCGCGCTGAACGCGCCGGCCCGGGAGCAGCTGCCCTGTTTGTTGGGCGTTCGCCCCACCTCGGCTGCTGTGGAGGAAATGGAGTCCCGCCTCGTGCGGCGTTCCCACGTCCTCGCGCGGGTGCGCACCGCCCTCGCCCCTTCCCCAGCGCGCGCGCCAGCACACCCGGACCTCCTCGGGCTAGCTCCTCTCCTTTGCTTCCACAAGGAACGCGTCACACTGATGGTTTGTGAGCCGCTCTGCGTGCCGAATGCCCAGAGTTGTCACTTTTGAGAAATCGCAGCCAGCCAGAGCAGGTAGAAAAGCAGCCGTTTGATAGCTATTTTCTTATTAGTGCTGATTCCACAGTTCTTGAAGACTAATAAATCCAATTTGGCAGCTGTTGGATTTGCCAGGATTGACACTAAAGCGTGTGAAGGCATTAAGTGTAATGATGTATGTGGAAACGCTTTGTAAACAGCATAGCTGTCTACAATTTTGAGGGAATTTGCAGTGTTTTCTGTGGCGCGGGATGTGTAAGCCTTGGCGTGTGGGATTTTTATAAACTGTTTCCCGCCCTTAGCCATTGATAAACCAGGTGGGCTGGAGTGGTCAGAATATTAATTTAGAAAGTGTTCGGGCAAACACAAATTTAGTAAAAATTGTTTTCTAGGTTGATGGACAGTTGGAAACTGAAGGTCCATTTTAATAAAGCTGCGAGTAGAGGGGAAGGTTTCTCGGCGCGGGGTGGATGGCCCCTGGGAACTGTGGAGGGAGGAAGGGGTTGCCTTAAGTGCCCGTTTCCGGCTGGCACCTGCCCGGGTCCACCGTAGCGCGTGGCGCTGGTGGAGACGGAGCCAGCTTTCTGAGGCTGAGACCGGGTCCCACCAGGCTGTGCACTCCCGGGGAGATAGCCTCGCCAAGGAGGGTTCGGGGAGGGGGGCGGGGGTGTGTGACGACACCACGCATTCCTTACGCCTTTGTTGTCTATACCTCTTCAAAGGAGCTTTGCTTCATAGCGTTTAATTTTAGGGCAAGTAACGCACCCTTCCTTCCAAAGGTGCACAGGAGTTTATGTGAAAAGTTGGTCGCGCCTCCTGGTGTCCTTCCCCAGAGGCAACTGAAGTTCCGAGTTTCCTATGAATCCTTCCAGAAAGACACTGTGCGTGTATACACCTGTGTACTATCATACTCAAGCATGGTAGCATACATGTTGTTTTGCACATTGTTTTTTCTTCGCGGTATTATCTCTTAGCAGAACGGTTAGTACATGCAAAACTGCTTCATTTGATTTTAATTACTGCGTAGGCCAAAGTAGGTATGGTTTTAGGTTTTAAGATTTCATTTTATTTTATTTAAGTAATCTCTGCACTCAACGTGGGGCTGGAACTCACAACCCCGAGATCAAGAATCACATGCTCTACTGATTGAGCCAGCCAGGCGCCCCCTAAATACATATGTTTTATGATTTGTTTAGACAGCTCCCTATTGATGATCATTTAGATTGTCTCCATCAAAAAGGAAGTTTTGTAAAGTCAAGCCATTGGGCTAGATCTTCTTCCTCCTTCATGGCGGGCTTTCCTGAACACAACAATGATTTAACTTCAGAAAATATTGCTAAGCCGAATATTGAGGAAAGAGGTGGTGCATTATATAAAATCAAAATGCTGTTATTTAGATTACAAGCCCAGATAATGGAAGGGTCCAGTCTCAGTGTAAGGGGGGACGTAAGGGAGTCAATTTTGCCTGGAATTTTTCCAGGTATCCCTTAGTGACAGTCTTGGCTTCTTAGAAAAATGATACTAAGTTAGTCTGTTTCAGGGTGATAAATAAGACAAATTAAAGTAACTTTGGGGCGATGGGGTGAAAAAAATAAAGTAACTTTGGATGCAGGGTGCAGATTACTTTTTATTGGGCTTGGAGGGAAGGCTTGAAACCTCATCAACAAGTGGCAACCTGGTCCCATCCTCCCCAACTTGTTTTTCCCTCAGTTTGTTTTCTTAATATTTTTCAAGTTGAGCATTAGGAAAGGAGATATATATAGTCTCTCCAGTAATATTTTCTTTCCTTTTTCTGTGCATACTTAAGTTTCTATAAATTGTGCCATATCAGCAAGAAGAGTCCTCTTTTAATGGCTGTATGATACTGCATTGTATGGCTGAATTGTGATTTATATAATGGCAATAAGTAAATGGTTATGTGGGGGGTTTTCAGTCCCTGTAAATGGCAGCAGTCGCATCAGTGTATGTATCTACCTACATGTATGATTGTCTCTGCAGAGCAAAGTAGAAGTGAAGAGGCCAGGCCAAAATATATATAGGTTTATCCATTCATTGGTGGACTTTTTTGGTGATTATGAATAATGCTGCTATGAACATTGATGTACAAGTTTTTGTGTGGAGATGTTTTCAGTTGCTTTGCATATATACACCTAGGAGTGGAATTGCAGGGTTGCATGGTAACGCCATGTTTAACGTGCCAGACTTTTCCAAAGCTGCTGTACCACCAGCATTTCCCACCAGCAATTTATTCCTCATCCTCACCAACACTTGTTACAGGATTGTGAAGATTCTTTACCAGTGGGGTTGGTTTGTAAAAATTCATGCACATTATCACTTTTGCCCACTCTGCCCTTAAATACATTAATTTTTTTTTACTTTATTCCCTTGTTATTTTTATTGCAACCTATTTTATCTGTTAAGTCAAATTCCATTCTCATAGATTGCAGTATATTTCATGGTGGTGTATAGGGATTTTTTTTTTTTAGGATTGATTAATTTATTTTAGAGAGAGAGAATAAGAGAGAGTTCCAGTGCCTGTGGTGGGGGGGCAAGGAGCGGAAGAGAGAGAATCTCAAGGTGACTCCCCAGTGAGCACAGAGCCCATTGGGGCTCCATCCCAGGATGCTGAGATCACGACCTGAGCCGCAGTCAAAAGTCTGTCTCTTAACTGACTGAGCCAGCCAGGCACCCTGGTGTGTATGTTTAATACAGGATGCTTAATGCCTATTTTTGTTCCCTGTAGTCCTTTGTTATGTGGTCACTGTTTTTTTAGTTTCTAGCCAGCCACCTGGCTACACTGGCCATTTACTAGGAGCTGACTGATGTTTTATTCCCATGTGGACCCCATCTACCTCTCATTGGCCATTTACTCAGTTCTTGCCATGTGCAGTGACGTGGATTTTTACATAAGCTGTATTCCTGGTGCAGTTCCAGTGTATTATGTTAAAAAAAGATCATAAAAGATAAAAACTATAAACTGTATACATTAATGTGAAAGAGATACTGAGTAAAGATATAATCAGAATGAGTTGTTATCGATCAGGGAAGCTGGGGAAGAAGGGAAGAGAAGAGGGTTTTTGGTCGGCTTTGGAATTAGATCTCTCTCAAGTTGGGAGAAGTACCAAAGGAAAAATGTTGGACACAGGTTTTTGATTTTCCTGTGAACCTCCTTGCAGTCAGAAGTCTGAATCTTTTTATCTCTATATTCCTACCCCTTAAATGATAGTGTACATTCTCCTTTCCTCTTTATTAATATAGGAAAAAATTTTAAAGACTATGAAAATATTGTATGTCAATACAAGCATATCCCTATGCTTGATAATTTATAGGATTTAATAGTTGGTACAGAACTTAAATTTATTTTACTTCTTTATTTTTTAAACTTCTGACTAGTAAAAGTAATTAGTAATAACTATTGGCTAAAAAAGATTTTTGGTGGTTTGTCTTAAAAAACCTTTTTTTCTTTCAGTATCTGCCATGACAGTCTATCTCTTTACGACTGTCTATATTATAACAGTAAGTAATTTTATTGGAGAAGCTCTAGTTGAGGTCAGGATTGTCATTTAAAAGCACCAATTAATGGTATATCAGATACTCATCAAATTAAACAGATACAGCATTGCCTCTACCCCCCCCTTCTTTTCTTTTTAGGATTTAAAAAATTCACATTAGACATTATTAGACGGAAAATTTATTCATTAATTCAGGAAGTATTTAATGAATGCTTACTATGTAAAATAGCCCTGCATATTCATTGTTTGCTGTGATAGAAGTGTATTTTTCTTGATAAAAAAGGAATATAGTTAGCTACCTGCGGCACTGATTCAAGGAGGAAATAAATTCATTTTTCTTCAATACTTTCACGTAGTAGATTATTGAGTTTCAATAATTGAAGCTCATTAAAGTATGTAGTGTTCATTTTCCTTCTTGCTTATGACTTATTTCTAACTTATTTTCTTGATTTATGTGCTTAAGTCTTCAACATCTTTACTTCTGATGGTGTCGTGTTAGTTACCTGTTTTGGGTCTAAATCCTTAGGCACTGGGGCACCACACACAAAAACTTAACATAATTGTGTTGTAACTGTTTCAGTGGACAGAGTGGTTGGGCACAGAGATGAAGGGAATGTGGAATAACTGGATGACAGAGATGGTACTAATGCTAGGAGTTGCCATTCAGTGCCCACTGTAATTTCTGTGTGCCTTGGAATGGGAATGAATTTCACCAATTCTTGTGGGGGAGCTGGAATGAAACCACGTTGCGGATTTTTAGAATGGAAGGATGGCATTGGGTGTGTGCCAGTGACATTTCTTGGAAGTTTCTG